TCTTAAAAAGTTAGAGGCTGAGAACGGGGGAAGAAACAACAGAGAAATATTTATTTTCTATTTTGTATGGCTTTTCTTCTCTTTTGTGTATGTGAGCTGAGTCATCTTCTGTCTCATAAAGTCTGGTGCAGATAGTAGGGATACTGAAACCACAAAAGCATCCCCTAATGCACTGCTGACATAATTAACTCAATATTTTATCCTAGCAAACTTACTGATTCAAACTCTTTTAAAAGTAGAAAATCTAAGTAGGTCTTCATCAGTGGTTTCCAACCTTTTTATGTCCAAAATTTCTCTGAATTTTAGGGCAATCTACGATCTACCCTGACCCTTCCCAGAGTCATTGCCCCTTCCCTAAAGCCCTGCCCTGCTCCCTCCCTCCCTTTTACCTGGCTGCAGCAGAGGATTGGGATGCAGAAGGAGGTATGGGGTACTGGCTCTGGGAATGGGGCCTGGAAGGGGGGGGTTCATGGTGCGGGAGAGGATATGGGGTGCTGGCTTTGGGAAGGGGCTGGGGCGTGGTGTGCAGCCTCTCACTGGACAGCACTTACTGCCAGCAGTTCCCAATTGCTGGTTCAGCAAGGCTGAGGAAGCCATCCCCGCACGCCTTCTGGAAAGGGCCAATGTGGCCCTGTGGCCCCAGGGATAGGTGGTGAATGACATGTGGTTCTGTATGATGCCTTCTCTACCAGCACCACTCCCTCAGTTCCCTCTTCCTAGCTAATGGGAGCTGCAGGGGGGCCAGTACTTTCAGGCAGGAGCAGTGTGCCAAGACTCCTGACCAGTGTTCCCATTAAGCTGCACAGCGTCACAGGTGATTAATCAGCCCTGCCCAATCAATCACCTCCATGCACAAAGCCCTGAACCCTTGACTGGGCGGGGCTGATTAATCACCTGTGACGCTGTGCTGCAGTGCAGCTTAGAAGGAACACTACTCCTGACATGCTCCCCCCCCCCATGAGGTCGCACTGGCCACTTCCGGGAACAGGCTAGCAGTGTGGGGCCAGGGCAAGCAGGGAGTCTGTCTCTGTGGCAGCCCCGTTCCATCACCAGAAGTCATGATCAATGGGGGGACTCCCCAGAATCGACCAGTCGATTGTGATTGGCTGGCTGGTGACCACTCGTTTACACTTACAACAGTGAAGCTGCGCGCCACTATAGCACTTCGCTTTTATGAAGATACTACCTACAATAACTGGAAGGCTTCTCCCAGAGAGGCAGTAGCTACATCAACAGGAGAAGCCTCTGATCCACACAGCACCGTTAACTCTGGAAGTTAGGTCAGTATAACTCAGAGGTGGGCAAACTTTTTTGGCCCAAGGGCCACATCTGAATAGGGTAGGCCATGAATGAAGGGTTGGGTCCAGGAGGGGGCTCAGGGCACAGAGATGGCATGAGGGAGGAGTCACAGGGAAGGGAGTGGGGGTGCAGGAAGAATTCCGGGTGCAGGCTCCAGCCATGCGCTGCTAACCTGGGGTGGCTCCTGGGCAGCCAGTGTAACCGGCAGCAGCTCCATGGAGAAGAAGGAGCACTGCATGCTGCCCTCACCTGCCTCTGCTCCAAGGGACTGAAGGGACAAACTATCCGCTTCTAGGAGCGGCACAGGGCTGCAGCAGGCAAAAACCCTGCCTTAGCCCCACTGCACTGCTGGACTGGTAATCCTAAAAGCCAGATGAAAATCCCTGATAGGCCAAATGTGGCCCATGGGCTAGTTTGCCTACCCCAGATATAACTAGATCATTCAGGGATGTGCATTTTCCACACTCCAGAGTGAGTCTGGCTTAAGATGCTATTGTAGACCAAGCGTGAGTAAAAGCAGCAGCCTGTGATTAGCTAGAGTGGCTCAGATGACTAACTTAGCTAATGCTCTGGCTAAATGATCCCTTCCCTCAACAAGACTGGGGTGAACCTAACCAATCGACACCGTGAGTGTAAGAAAGTAAGTCATGTTCTCCCAACACATGGATACTAAGGAGGGATCCATTGGAAAGGGATGCTCCAGATTCACAGATATGGAGGCATTCTAGTGGAAAGCTGGTCCCTCCACAGAGTCCATACTGCCTTGGTGGACCTCCTTGACACCTTGACTCCTTAAGTTCTGCTCTGGCTACACAGCAGCAGCTGCAGAGAGGATCCTGTAGGAGACAATGCTGCTTAAAGTATTAACTCACAGTCAAATTTCTTAGTTGAAACCAGTGGGCTCAGCAATGACCAGTCTCCCTGTTTCACTTCTTCCAGTTTCTACAAAGCATTTAGAACCCTGATTATGTGAAGTTCCACCAGAGACCTTCAGTGGAGTCCAGGAAGAATACCAATGAATCATCACTATCCCCCCTCTTCACACCCCATCCTTCTCAGACCCAAAACAGATCTACTGGAACTGGATCCCGGTGCCTGAGGAAGTGGAAGACACATTCCTGACAGTTGCATTTAAAAAAATTTATAAACACAACAAATATGTGCAACATGTAGTGCACAAGACTTTTACAGGACAATCAACACTTACTTTGCTCTGGGTTCCCAAGTAAACAACTTGTAAACTTCCTGTTTTACTTTCTCAACTGGGAAAGCACCTTCGCTTACAGGCTAGTAACTCCACTAACATCCTCATTGACTAAATAAATCTTACATAACCTCTCTGTCTCAACTGCCTTTATCTGTAAATATGAAATAGCACTTACCTTCAGCCCCTGCAACCATATTTGAAAAGCACTTCCTAAAAATTGTTTTTAATATAAATAGCATGCAGCCTTACTTCCTTCGGGATTAGACACATAGGCAAAGTCAAATGAAGCCGCAATTTAAATGATCGCAGCTTCATTTAAACTTACATGGCTGCCGCGCTGAGCCGACAAACAGCTGATCAGCTGTTTGTCGGCTCAGAGCGATAGTCTGGATGTGCAGGTATCGACATCAAAGGCATTTGTCGACCACCCAGGTATGCCTCCTGGGATGAGGTATATCTGGCTGATC